AATGGTATTTCACCTTCAGTCAGAAGCTTAAAACTAGGTGAAGGAGTGATTTCTGACCCTATAAATCATAGACAGTTTTATTAACCTGGTAAAAGTTAACATACGAATGCTTTCCGAATTCGAATTAATGCTAATTTGGCTTAGTTATGAATTTTTTAAATTTTGCTTTGTCGAAAAAATTTGCATATAAAAAATGGTTAATATCAATTAAAAAATGGTATTCGACCTTCAGTCAGAAGCTTAAAACTAAGTGAAGGAATCATTTCCGACCCTACAAATCATATATATTCTTGATCAGCACCAACAGGCGAATCTTCCCAGCTATATTCGGCCGAAAAAAATTTGTTTCCGATATTTCACATTTTTCGAAAAAAAAAGTAATTAAATAAATTAAATTATTTTTTGTAAAATTCGGTTTTCCAAAATGAATATTGTTCTTTTTGTATTCAACAATGCAGAGAAAACTAGTTACACTCCTGCTAAAAGATTTACTTTTAAGAATATAAAGCTTATTCTTCATGGCAACCATAAGCTAGATAAACTATGTAATCCATATATAAAAATCCATCCATAATCCATCCAAAAATCCATATATACATACATAAAAGTACTTCTATATATAACAAAAAATATTGTAACAAATTTATACAATCAATAATTAATGGTTATTATAATTGATTTCCACGAAAAATAATTAGCAACTCTTCCGTAAAATTATTTCGCAAACAATTGCCAAAAGTTTCCATACTTGGCATTCCACGAATTCTTTTAAATTGAAATTAATTTAGAGACACAAAAAAGCGTTAATTGAACAGCATTAGAGCAAACATTTGATTGCTTAATTTACATGAAAATTAACTAAAACAGACGCCGGGTGAGAAGGCGAAATCACAGAGAATTTGGGGGAAAAGTGGAGTCCCGAAAGGAAAACCCCGTCGGAAAATACCGAACTAGGATCAAAAGTAATGGTGTCAGGGCACAGGAGTCGTCATCCCTTCGGCCTGCGGCGGGGTTCATAAAGACGCAGACCATTAAGACGTTTTAATTCTTGATTTTGCACCCTCATCGCAACGCGGAGTCTATGTTTTTCTTATTTATTTTTTGGGACCAGTGTCCAAGGACTGGCAGGATTCCGTCTTGGCTCATGACCCACGAGGACCGTCAATTTTTGGCCCTCGCTTTGCTGCTTTATGTCCTTCGTCTGTTGTCGTTTTATTTTTAATTTCGTCTGAGCGCGTCTTTTTTATGCCGTCGAGGCTCATTAGATTTGCAAAATGTTGGTCGTTAATGTTATTAGGTTCTTGGTCTCTGACCCCCTCGAGAGCGTCCAAATTGCAATTGGATTAATAAATGCCATTAGGCATTGCAAGTGTTTTATTTTTATTTCCATTTTTCTGGGAGGGATAATTTGTATTTATGCTGTCATTTTATGCCACATTTGAGTCGAGTTATGGTCAGTGGGAGAGAGAAGGCGCAAAGTGAATTATTAAGGATAGAAATAATAAAATTGACACTTGGAGGAGTAGAAATATCTCTGAAAAACATTCTTAAAAATTCGTAGAGATCTAAAATACTTAAAAACTGAAATTCAATAAGCTACCTTTCCCCATTTTCCACGATAGATAATTTATATTTATTCTGTCATTTAGTGACAAAAAAAACGTAACAAAAAAAGAGGGTGAGAAGGAAACGGAAATGTGACAAAAGTCAACAATACCGAAGTTATTTTGGCATTTCCCGGTGGTGACTTTTGTGGGTGTGCCGCCGACACTTGGCAAACAAATTTTCCAACAGCAATTAGACCGCCGCGTTTTTTTATTATTTTAATATAAATGAAGTGAAATTAAAAGGCAACTGTGTGTTGACAAAGGCAACAGCAGCAGCAGTCACATGTGGTCAGCGCCAGAAAAATCATCATCAAAGCAGTCGCACGTGTCTGGGCGTTAAACCGTATTCCGGAGACCCGAGTCCTGCCGCAAATGCTTTTGACACCTTTCAGCCACCTCAGAGGGAGTGGAGTATTCATGTGTGTGAGTGTGTGAAAAAGTCCTGAACAAAAGGTCACTGTGGTTGGGAGGGGAGGAGGCCACTGACCACTGTCCCCATACACATAACCTTTGTCCTGACAGCACCCAGCCAGGCCCTGAGTTAATAATAATCAAAACCCGAAAAATCCCTGGCCACTTGCTAATGAGAAAATTCATCAGGAGGCTCAGTGAACTCGAAATTTGAGAAATACAAGTAACATAACCCTGAGACTCATCTTAATAACTTCCAGGCTGACACCTTTTAGAGATCTTGAAGGGACAAGACAGGTGTTCATTTTTGGTCAAAAGAAGTGAGGTCAACCAGGGTCAAGTTGAAGTCATTAAACTGGATAATGGAATTATGAATCAATACATTTTGGAAACAGTATTAATACTAAGAATGAAGAGTTGAACCCTTTGTTAAATATTATAATATAGAGCTAAGATATTTACCACCTCATATCTATACTCCTTACTTCAACCTTTGACTTTCCTCTTAAATACAATTATATTTACTAGCTGACTTGGCTTATTCCATTAGTAAAGTTAATTATTTACCAATTTCCACTCAACACACACTCATTTATTCAGGCACATATCAATTTATAACCAAATCTGAGGATTTCCATAGGGATTACGTCTGGAAATACCGCCGTTACACTGCCGTAAATTGAATTCTTTTTCGGCAAATGAAACTAAACGAATTAAAACTGAGTTCAGCTGCAGTCTCACCAAAAATATACACAAGCCCCCAGAGAAGGTGGAAAAAATAATTAAATGATAAACTAATCTACACCCAAGCCTTTAATAAGCCAACGCCAAAGAGGCAAAAAGGAGCCAGCCGAAGGGGTTTGAGACATTGGTGTTATATGTGTGTGTGAGTTGGAAAATAGCTGAAAAATGAGGGAGTGATAGAAAGGATATCACCCAGGCTGGGTGTCCTCCTTGCTGGGTGCTCGCCGCCTGTGCAAATAATTATTATTTTCGAAACTATAAATCTGCTTACAAAATATTTTCGTGCATTTTTCAACCGTGCCACCCACAGCGAAGGAGGTTCATGGAGACTCCAAAGGATATTGGTGGCGGAACACCAGACTGCGCCAGCCTCGGCAATGATATACAGTTTTCAATTAAAAATTATAGTCTAATGAAATTTTCCAGCATCGCCGGCAGGAGAGTTTTCTCGGCTTTTTATTTTTCTGATTTTGGTTATGGAAAAAGGAGGGAAAAAAGGAGACCAGTTAATTGCCAGTCGTCCTGGCAAACTTTCTGTGGGTATGATGATGCAAAAACCTTTTAAAGGTTTATAGAAAGGGTTATGCCAATCGGTTTTGTGGCCCATTTCAATATCGTAGTTTCCCCCCCATGAAAAACATTTTGTCATCTTATATACGAGTCCTTTGATTTATGCTATTTACTTTTTATCAAACTGCCGTCTGCACTGGCTCACAAAAATAATTACAAAGCAGAACGAACGACCTCCTGCTCCTGCTTCTTCTGCAACATTTTTCGATCAAATTTCTTAGTTTACAAAAACTACAAACCACACACACAGGGGCACACACACACATACCCCGACCACAAAATATTTTGGTATGAAAAATGTCCAAATTGCAAGCCGAAAAATGTCCTTTAAAATTGTGGGTACAACATGGGGGACCTCGTGCCTTTTGTTTGCTTTCTAATAGTTGAGGACGATGAGCACCTGTCCCGTAACCGGAATGGAACCCTGTCCCTTGCAGTTAACCCTAACCCTCGCCCCCTCTCACATGTAATCCGAAACATTGTTGGTTTTAGTTTTGGGTTTTTTTTCTATTCACAGGGACTCTAGTTTATAGTTTGAGTAATTTGCTTTTAAGCGGTTTTTAATATCAAAGTATTGCTAAAATATTTCATGAAAAATAACCAACCCTCCATGAGTACACAAGAAAAACTTTTCATCCCGAAAATGCGTAGAAAATCTGTTTGAAATTGTTATGTCATTTTTATGCAAAATATTTTTGAAATAACAGAAAGCAAAAGCGCTGAGCCGGACCTCGCGCCTTGTGAATGTCATAAAAAAAAAAAAAAGGGGGGAAATCGTAACATTTAAAAGCTGTTCTCATGGACATAATGGAACAAAATATAAAGGGAAAGTGAAGAAGTCATCAAAATGTAACTCAAGACAGTTACCGAGACTAATTTCTGTCCTGTCCAGGATTTTCGTGGGCTCATTTTGCCATTCGTTTCACTTCTTTTTGGTTTTTCCACGCTGTTTTCCCTATTTTTGTTTTTTTTTTTTTCATTTTAAGGTGGAGTCTTTCTCTCACCCCAACAGTTCATTAGCCAGAATTTACAGTCACTTTTAGGAAATGCAACCGAAATGTTACACACAAATGTAGGGCCAAAAAAGGCAACTTTGCTTTCGAGGGATGCTTCAGATACTTTGGCCCAAAAACATCTGAGGTCTTCTCGGCCACAATTACCATGAATATTAAGCCACAATAAGAGCCAAAAGCTGCAAGCTGAACTCGCAATTGATGGAGCCACAAATGTTTCAGTGTGGTTGTGGTTTTGGTTTTTCAGCTTTTCGGCCTCACCTTTGTTCCCAGGTAATTCAGGGTGGGTTGCTTCCAAATTTCACAATTTTGAGGAGGGGAAGGAATGAAGATACTTCCAAAAACCAAATGCATTTTTAATGAAATTTATGTAGGTTTGCATTAGTAATTGAAATGGGAATGGAAAGTGGTTTTCTCTGCTCTGGGTTTGGGGTTTGGGATAACTATAATATTTTACAGGGATTATGTTAAAAAGTTCATTCGGTTGTTAAATGTTAATATTATTGAAGGACTTGTAACTATAATAAGGTTAATTTTATAGTAAATAAAACTACTTTAATCCTAATTTTAATAATAATTTTAATATTAAAAAACAGACATAGCTCTGGGTAGAGTCTTTGACAGGGATTTTTTTTTTTTTAGCGCTTAACAAGAGCATTCAATTGAAATGAAAAATGCTACCTCCTCGTGGTTCTCTCTGTTTCCAGTAAATCTCTACAGAATTCTAAAAGGAATAAACTAGATCAATCCAATGACAGGCTCTCCTTAGTGTTTGTAAGTTCCTCTTCTTAGAAGACACATGAAAATATAGGTTTTAGTGTAAACTACATGCTCTGCTTTAATCTCAAACCCAAAATTTAAATACCTTGTATTCCATCACAGCTCTGTAGCTTTCTCGCTCGTTCTGGGCTAATCAAGTGGAGTCCCTGGAGAAATGCGCATTCATTTAAAATTTCCAAATATCAACTTACCCAAACCGACCACTTCCTTCCCTTTTTTTCCCCGGCAGTTAAGGTGCATTACATACGCAGTCATAACTCAATTCCTCTTATTTTGTTGCCAGCTCGACTCCTGTCCATTTGCGATGATGGCTGCCAGCCAAATTGAATTCAAATTCAATTTGAACTTTTCAATTTTTGGACCCGCTGAGGGGAGGATAACAACAGTAGCAGCAGGACGTAACACACACATTTCGAATGCGTAAAATGTAATGAAAATTATGAGTTGAGAACCTGAGAACACGAGATGAAAAAAAAAGTGAAAGCTAAATGAAATTTCACAAACCAAATTGTTCATGCACTTTTGAGCAACACTTTCGGCGTTAACAGAGCAGACAGAGGCTCAGACAGTTGGCTAAATGAAATGAAACATACTCGTAAATTTAAATTGAAATTGAAATACGGCAAACTTCAGACGTGAGAGACCTGTTTGTGTTGCCTTTCCGTTGTCCGTTGCCGCGGGCAGCGTTTTTGTTGCTGGGTGTGACATTTGACGCCCCCGTTGAGGGAAATTTTCTCCACTTTCCATCCGGACTTCACCCACCCGACGCATACACCTCCCCCACTAGTTATGACAGTTACAACTTTAATCAGACAACACCAAGACTCCCTTTCCCAAGTACAGACCTGGGCAAAGAGCACATTCATAACCAGCGAAACTTTTACGAGGCACTTGGTCAGTTGATGAGACCTAGGACATGCCAAGGATATCCAGGTATACTGGCAATGGATCCAGGTCCAGGATGTTCCACAATGTTGACCAAACATAAAAAAGATATTCCCCGACAAGTGGTTATTCGAATGGGAATGGTAACATGACTTCGAATGAGAGATATTCCTTGGCTAAACCTTAAGTATAAACCTAAGTATTTATCTTAAATCATACTTAACCAATGTTAAAAGGTTAAAGTATAATATTAAACCTTGATTTAAATGTATTCCCTATTTTTATACCAAATACAGGGTACTCTGGGCAAAGAAGTAACCCAAAAACCTGCACATTAACTGCACCCATTGCAATCCTTTTTGCATTTAGTGCGCACAAAAGACAGCTTTTACAACCAGAATTCCAGCTAAAATCCTAACCAAAAACCAGACACAATCACAGGTCCCCCAGTCTCCGAGATCCGCAGGGCAGGCACAAACAATTATTATTTTACAAATTGATATTTATGAAGCAATTTACAAAATGTTTTTACGCCAAACGACTTTTTCACATCTCTCCTCTGCAGGCGATGCAGTCCCTCGAGTCGAGGAGTCTGAGGCTTGCACAAACATTGCACAGATTGCAGTCCAGCAGGATATGGATCCTGAGTTGGGATCCTGATTTTCGTCCTTTTGCCCTTAGGCCGTACTGCATTGCCATTGCAGTTTGGGGAGGGGACAAAAAATGCCATGAATTTCATTGAGCCCGAGCAAGAGCCACAACAGAATGGCTGACTTTTCCCAACACCACTCGCTCGGCTGGGACCCACACAAATGTTTATTAATTTTATTGAACAATTAATTAAATGCGGCCAAAATGTTTTGTCAGCGGCAATGCCAACGACAGCTGCAAACGACGACGATGATGGCACTTTTCGACTCGCCACTTTTCGTTTGTTGCACTGCGCCTGCAAGTATGCAGCAGGATATTAAAATACCACAAAAACCTGACTTCCGGAGGAGGTTAAGGGCATGCGAAAAAGGACATCAAGGATGTTCTGAAAACCATTATCCAGAAATAAATATTATATAATAGTAGTATATAGAAAGGTATTACTACAAAATTGTATTATTACAAAATTGTAATTATTAATATATTTAGGAAAATTGAATTTAAAGAATTCACTGCATTACAAGCTTCTGACTTAAATAAAAATACCCGGCAAGGCGAATAAAAATATAAAAAATTTGAAAAATATATTTATAAATTTGAAACAATAAAATCTCCCATCGAAACCCTTTACCAGAACACCACACAAAATAAAAATAAATGTGTATGATTTTATGAAGTGCAACAGCAGTTGCAACAACAATCAAAGGGTCGTTAGCACTCAATGCAAAACGTTGCAGTCACAAATTGTTTTTATTGATATGGAGCCCGCCCAACCAGAAAATAAAGAAAATTGCCAAATGAAAATAGGCAAATGGCAAAATGTAACCCATTGTTTTTCCCAATAATATATATGCAGATGTGTGTGCAGCCGAAAAATGCCATTCCCCCTCACAGAAAAACAAATGCAGGCCATAACAGTTTTGTTATTTAATGGCAAATTTATTTGCATATTGTAACATTCGAAGTGGGCATTGTTCAGTTGGGTGACACAGGAGGAAAACGAGTGTGCAAAAATGGCGGAGAGGTTGGGAAAATGGGGTGGGAAATTGGGAAAGGAGGCTGGCAAGCAAGCGATATGCACTTGACACTGAAGTGGACGATACTACACACATGAGGAACGCTTTGCCAGGGGTTTATACATATTATTTTCAAGGGTTGATCGCCTTTCAAAAAAGGTTTTTTTGCGTTTTTTCGCTTTTGGTTTTTTGGTTTTTGCACACACTCGTTCGAGCTATTTAGCGGCGTGGCGCACTTAAGCAAATACAAATTTACATTTCGCTGCCATAAACACTTTTAAATTTGAATTTCATTCTTTTTTTCGCTGGTTTCTGTGCCTCCCTGCATGCAAATTGAAATTGATGCCAAGGTAAACAGTTTCAATGGAAAAGCCAGACAACTGGGCGGAAAAGGTCAGCTCGATAGCAGACCCCCCTCGCTGCACGAAAAGAAAATTTTATATAAAACCACAGAAACTATTTTTCAAAAACCTAATAAATTTAAGCTTGTGAGTATCTTAAGAGCTGTAATAGAAAGAAAGTTTAAATCAATTCTATAAAACATATTTTCAAAATATAATATTATTCACATTTCGATTAAAAGAGATCCGTTACCACTTTTGTATAGTATAGAAGTGATGAAAAATAGCTTACATTAAAATATTATCGTTAAGCATTTAAGTTTGATAGGATCCAAAAATGTAAAAAAAAAATAGAGTTTATAAATATATATTTTCAAAATACTTTCCTTTACTTTAAATACTTTCCTCTCAGTGTTGAGACTGAGCTTAAACAAGAGCTTAGCCTGGCCAATTGCGTTGACATCTTTTGCTGTCCATTGGTGAAACGGAAACCCTCGAGGAAATGTCTTAGCCATAAGTCAAAGCCACTTCACAAAACACTTCCGGCTCAGTGGGACGCATTGTGGATTTTCTATTATCCGCTTGTTGGATTTCCCTTTATGCTTGAGTTTTTGTTTTTTTTTTTTTGTCGGTTCTCGCATGATTACCTTACAATTTTATGAGGGTATATTCGCTGTTGAAAGAGGTTTATGCTTAAAAATTATATATTAAAAGTTGAATACTTAGAGTATGTTAACCATTTTTTTCTAAATACTTTGTCTGAAGGAGCATATAATTTTCACTATACAAGCTTATTTTAGTATGAATACAAATCATACCAAAAATGCATAAATTAATTAAATAAATATATATAATGTTTTCTAGAAATTTTCTATGATGTTTTGCTTAACATAGATAGCTTTTCCTTTTGAATTTTAGAGAATCCTCCGAGTGACTTTGTTTTTTCAACATTTTCACACCCCTTTCCAGACGCGTACTTAGTTCTACCACAAGTAGCTTTGTTTCTTCTCCTCCACATTTCACTCCTTTTTGCAATTTTCCCCCTTTCTTTTCTATTTTTTTCTGTAGAGCTGCCGGTTTGCAATTGAAATGGTATTTTCCTTTCCAAGTGTACACTTGTTGCTCAACTGGGAGCAAGGCGACGGTGGCCTCACTTCGATGAGGGTTTATTTTGGCAGAAAAGTGGAAACTTTACCCCTCAGCTTCTGGCCCTTTTTCAAGGGGTCGCCCTTGTTTCGTTTGTAGTTTTTCGGTGGTTGCTACCGCAAAAGACCCTTTCTGGCCTGAGCCACCACAAAAAAGCTGAGGAAAATCGTCGCATAAAAAGGGGCGTTTAGTGTGTAAAAAGAAGCTGAGAGACCGGAGAGACGAGACCCTCTTGTTGTTTTTGTTAAATTTTGCAGAAAGTCACCAAAAAATCACCTCACACACAGCCACACCGGATCCACTCTCCCCTTGTGTGGGTGTTCGGGTTTTTTTTGTTTAGCCTTTTGGGTATTTAAACTAAGCGGATTGTGTGGGTGACATGAGTAGGTGTTAAGTGGCTTTGTCACTTTCCCAATGGAGTGGCGCGAGTGGGTGGTGTGTGTGTATGTGAGTGTGGGAAAATGTTAGTGCAGCTACAATTGCACTTGAAGAGGGGGGAAGAAGAAAACACTGGTAGCATTCACAACAAGTCTTTGGGAAAACCAATCAGTTTGCTTTGCACTCAATTTAAGCATTTAATTGCTTTCTGCAATCATTCGAAAGGCACTCGAAGAACCGGAGAGAACGCCTCTCAAATTGTAAAATCTCGACAAAATTAATCAGTTTGCCTCAGTCCGGTTTTGCCCAGAAAGTCAGAGCAATTAATCCAACTCAAATGACTGACTGATTCTATCGTTTTACCAAAGATTCAAGGCAGGTTGGAAGGAGGATATGCCAGGCAATAAATCGTTGCCTGATGCTCTGGCTGTTAATTTGCAATTCCAATTTCAATTTAAGCACAATTTTTGCTACGAAAAATATGGCTAACGGGCAATTGTTGGGTTTAGCAGTGAGTACACTGAGGGGAAAGATGGAATTTATGGGATAAACTGAAGAATTTCGTGGCCTTAAAATGTAGGAAATATTATGAAAGAAAGCAGGAGAACTTGGATTAATAACATGGGAAGGCATTGAATACTTTTCAGCAGTTTCGTTCATGAGCTTTTCCAGAGAGAACTTTGATTAGTTTGATTAGTTTCCTGGCTTTCATAAATTCATATTCTCTTTCATATATTCATATTCATAGAGTCGAATATATATTTAAAATTCATTTCTTTGAGTGACTCATTGCAGGACAAGTACTGGCCCCCCCGTAGAAACCGCAAACATTTGACCAGAAGCCCGCAGGGACTATGGTTACTCCTCCTGATCCTGATTCCCGCTCCAATACCTCCTCCCCCTTCGATGCGGATGCGGCTGTGGCCAGTGGTTATCCTGCGTCCGTTCCGACATGCGTCCGTTTGTAAGCCATTCATTTGTCCAATCATTCAACCGGAAGCTATACCGTTTGACACACATATACCCATAGAGGAGGTCGGCCTTCCGTTCGGAATTTGCCAGCGGTGTTTGGTGCCCGCTGGGTGTCGCACTCGCACTCGGACACTTTGCATGACACATGC